ATGACAGCAGCTGACGTTGGACTTGCAGACTATGCTAATTTCAAAGCATGTTCTAGGGCATCAAGTGTGTAGCTCTTGAGCAAGCCTAAAGAGTCCACTTTGAGCTCGTGGTTATAAAGGATTTGTAAGACCTCCTACTGGAGGTCCTTACTGCCTTTCTCACGTAGTGTCTGGCTGTCTCCATCCCTACCTACGTCTCCACCAGCGTAAGTGGCCTCACGGTTGAAGAAACCTGAGGAATTTTATCTCACCCACACAGAGATGCTGGTAGCTCTTGTTGGAACAGGTGAGCGACACCAAGTCTCCTGGATCAACATTCAGTCTGTACTTGTGTTGCTCAGATAGTGGCCCGATCAGATGTCTGTGGCATAGACTGTTCACCTCAAAAGGCCCTTTTCTCCTATTTCCTACAGATTCAAGGGAATCTGAAGTTGTTATTTCTTCGGGCCCTCTATGAAATGGAGTCATGGATTTGCGATGTGTTTTAGTACTTGAGAGAAGACATGACCAAAAGTTTATTTACTGACCCAGTGGCCCCAAAAGAGAACAGTTATGTAAGGCTGCTGTCTGTGACCTAATGGTATCGCCTCTGAAGGGAAACACTGTTGCTCGGCTACCTTCGCTATGGGATGTACTAGCAACTGTGATGTAACTGCTGCAAAGGGTAACTGGGTCACTGTGTTCGTTATCACAGAGGTCGAATCTAAAGCTCTCCTAATTACTGGCCCCTGTTGTGAAAAAGACTTGGGCACATGCAGGGCTGGTTGCACCACACCAAAGAGGGTGTAGCTAATCAGTGTGAAGACCGTGCCCATGCAACACAAACCACTTTTTAAAAAAATCTCCACAGGCAAGGGGAGGAGTAAAGTTTACATACATTTTGTTGTGGGTATTTGCATGAACAGTTTGACACTGTTGCAACATGGGTTACGGCCTCGCTATTGTTTTCCCAGAGGGACAAAAAGAGGAAGTGTCCTCAGTGTCCCTTTTGCATGGTTTTTGACGTGGTAGATAGAGCCACAGCAACTTCCATCTGTTATGAAACCGTTACACGCTGGACAGTGCGACCTTTTTACATATGCCTACGTCAGAGCCACGTCAAGAGCGCCCTCGTTGGTGATTATAATATTCCTGGAAACATGTCTCACTTGAACCATGTCAAACCATGCAAGCAGCAAATTTTAAGCACGGTAGTTGCAAATGTTCTTGTCTGTAGGGTAATGCTTTGTGTAACAGGTTCTTTTGAGCTTATATGCTAGCTGCCCAGTGCACTAACCTTTGCAGTGAACTGCAAACGGTGCAATTGTTGACAGAGTTTCCTGTAATAAAAACAAAGCTATAAATATTAGATGGGAAAGTATCAACTTAAAAAACCTACAATTGTTGACAACTAATTGAAATAAATAAGTTTAATTATAAGTACTAAAATGATTAAACTAAAAATGAAATAAAAACTATTTAAAGCTATATCTAAATAAAAAAATAAAAATAATCAAAATGCACATATAAAACTGCACTAAAATTTCAATTACTAAAGCTAAAAATTCAAATGAAACCCAAAAATATAAAAATAAAAGCTAGTTGAATATATTAATAAATACTAAAATGTACACTAGTATATAAATGATAATAAAATAACTGACTGCAAAGAGCAGAATTGGAGATTAATTTTGTTTTGCCTTTTTTGGTTTTATGTGTTGCTTTTCGAAACTGCTTTGCTCTCAGAAGATTTAGTCTAACACCATCATACTCATCTCTGTTATAACCTGTGAAATATTCAAAATATTGCTTCTCTTACCTTTGCTGTGAAGCTCCTCACCACTCATAACTCACACTTTACAACCTTGAGTTCCCACAGACTCTTTCTTGTATTAATTAGACTGTAATTTACAGGTTGGCTCCTGTCTTTGCTGAAGGGAGAATCTCAGACCATCCACCGCTCTGTCTCCATTCCTGCTACGCTAATGTTAGATCTTGTGTATTTATGTTTATATGCCACAATCATGACTAGATCCAGGAGGTTTAAAAAAGGTCAAACAAAATTGACCCCCCTCTCAGATTAGTTCTTGTGGGTGTGGCACATTTGAAGGTTAGTGGATTTAAATTGCGGCTTTGTATATTTACGGTATGTTTGGATCGACTTGAATATGTGTGTGGCAAATGAGTATCAGATGATGTGTTTTTGTACCAATGAGAGCGCTAAGAAGTTTTTTGCTTTACTTAGAGTGGGAGTGAGTGTTTGTGTGTGTGTGCGTGCGTAACTGTATATTTTTGTGCGTTTCGTCACGTGGGTGTGTGTGGGAGGATATATAATATGACAGATGCAAGTGAACCTACACAGACATTGTTGTGGACACAAAGCTCATTCACACACAGACTATATTTTCATGTGTGTGTGAAGGTTTTATTTGTTGACATATAACATAGTAAGTGTCTACGTGTGAGGTGCATATGTCATCACATTACTTTTTTGTATGTGTGTTGTTTCGAATGGTGGGACCAGGTCTGTCTGAAAGTGAGTGACAGGTTATAGATTTAGATGGGGGCAGTCTAGACTCTGCCTGGTGTTTCTCTCGCTTTTTCAATCTTTTATAGTAGGGGGAAGGGACCCCAGCAAAGCTGTCGTCCCACACATAAATTTGGCATCACGTATATGTTTCGTTTGAAGTTGTTTTCCATTGGGGCCTTTTGGGGAAACCACAAAACAAAGGCAGCAGCAAAAAGCTGTCTGGATCTCTGTGTACTTTGCCTGTTCTGTCTAATTTAACCAAGTAATGACTGAGATGTCTGACTTTTTTCTTTTCTGTTCTTTGCCTTTCAAAATTATGAAAAGTGCAGTCACAGAACCCTCACAATATTCAACGGTGGTTTTAAGACCTTTGTGGTGGTGCTGCTAAGGGAGGGAAAACTGCTGTTGAAAAGCTGGTAAAATGAGTAAAGCAAATCTCACATTTGTGGAGAAAGACAACCAAGGAAATGGAGCTAAAATACATGTTGTATCTGACACATGTGCACAAAGAAAGAGGGCGTTGGTACCGCATTTACTCGACTGTGAGGAAACCACACTGAGATATATAGTCCCATCTGGCTTTGGGTAGATTTGTGCCTAAGCCCACTTTTATTGCCTGAAGGGGAAGGGGTAGGGTATAATTTCCCATGCTTTTGGCTCACTTCTAGGTTCGCGTTTGAGTACAAGCTGGGGCAGGGTACCATAGTAAAGACCGTTAACTTGCCTAATTAAACTGGCTGTCTGGCT